AGGGGATAAATACACATACACACAAAAAGGGGGGGGGGGAAGGAAAACCCGCCCGCACCACCCAGCGGCCCCGCGCGGGGATAACAAACTCCAACTTAAAAAAAACTTCCCGAGCACGTCGGGGGGCGCGGAGGCGGCGGCGCTGCCCAGGTGCGGGTCGGGGCACGGCCGGGGGGTCCCGCTGCCTCCCCTTGCCCGGCCCCTTCCCCACCGGTCCCTTCCCCACCTGGGACTTGCCTTGCGCGGCACCGCCAGACCCAAGGGGGGGCTTTTGTTGCGTCCTGGCAGCCGGGGGGGGCTGCGGGTGAGCGTGTGGGGGAGAGGGTGAAGCTGGATGGTGTTGGGGAGGGGACAAAGGGGTTTTGCTGGGGCTGGGGGGCGCACTGGGGGGTGGGAGCCTCGGCAAAGGCTCCCCCGTGCAGAGGGGAAGCGGCGGCTCAGGAGAGGGGCTTCCTCGGGCTGCGGGGTGAAGGAAAGCGAGGGCACAGCAACTTTATAATCGACTTTTTATTAAGATTATAAATTTAAACAAATCTGAACAGTTTTACCCGGTGATATACAATTCCATATGCACAAAAATACAGGCTTACAAACAAAGAAAAAGAGGAGGAAAAAAAAAAAAGACCCCAACAGACCGTTTGGCAAAGCATCCTCAGTTACACACAGTGCTGATACCGTGAAGTTGGGAGTGGGAAAAAAAAAAAATAGAGGAGGGGACGACGACCAGAAACCCACCTTTTTACAACAAAAGGTTTTTCTTTTAAAAAAAATAATGTAAAAAACCCAGGAGACTCTACAGGAGACAGATTTCTTCACAAGACCAAACAATGCTGGTTTTATGATTGAGAAGGCTGAAACCAGAACAGTTGAACTTAAGAAAAAAAATAGAAGAAGGGAAAAAAAAAAAAAAAAAGAGTCAGACCCGACACACACACCGGAGACGTGAGTCGTGTTACCTGCGGCATCACAAGCACACACCGAGGCGGAGACTCCGGGCTCTCGGGGGCGACTCGCCCCCTCCCCGGCGGGGCACAGCCCGGAGGGACCCCCGGCTTTTGCTTTACCCCCTTCCCACCCCCCCCAAAATTCAGCTCTCGGAACCCTCCAGCGCTCCCCTGGCACAAGCGGTGGGAAGAAGTCACATCGCACACGTTTCTTCTGGGAGGAAAGTTGAAATGTTTTCATTTCTGCCTTTTTTTTTTTTTTTCCGCCCTTCCTTTCTTTTAAATAGATAAAGAAACGCACAAAAGCGAAGGGGCAACGGCTGCTTTCCCCTGCCCGCACCCCGAAACCCGCCGGGCCGGGGGCGGCGGGACCCGCGGGGCGGCCCGGGGCGGGGAGCGGGGCCGGGGGCGCTCCCGCCGCAGGGTCCCGGGGCCGGTACCGGCTCTCACGTGGCTCTACCGGCCGCCAGCACCGGCCCCGGGAAACCCGCCGCGAAGAGAACCCGAGCGGACACAAAGAGGATTATTTAAATAGGTGCTTCGCTGTTGTTTTGTTTTGTTTTCTTTTCGTTTGTTTGCTTGGCTTTTTTTTTTTTTTTTTGTTTTTTTTTTTTTGTTTTGTTTTGTTTGTTTGTTTTTTTTTTTTTT